AAAAAAAAAAATTTCCAAAATGCTACAAATGTAACTATTATATGTTTAAAAAAGTCTCCACAAATAATTCATTTTCTTTAAAAAGTTATCCCACAATTTTCAATCATAAGAAACTAAAAGTGTAAGAGGGGATTATATTTCACTAGCATCAAACTTTGGAACTATAATTAGAAGGTCAGAGCATAAATAAATTTTAAATGATACTAAAATATTGATACTTACCATTGGGAAAAAACGTATTATATTTTCAACTGGATTATCTGCAATATCCAAGACTAAATATCTGAAACAGAGTATTTTGTTATAAGCACAATTTCAGATAAAACTCTCCTTATGCATAAAAAAATTAACTTTGAAGATTTCTTGGCAACCATGAAAAGTGAAAAATCATTAAGCAAAAAACCTTCCTCTGTATCAGATGGATTCAGAAAACAAAGATACTTAAGCCCTTGTTATCTTTACTGTTACTCTTCTGTTTCTACCAATTTCCGTAGGACCAAAAGATTTTTCTCTACGTGGCCCAATGACCCTTCCTCAAAATTCTACAGAGAACAACAGAGGTGATGGTCCAAAGTCTGAAAGAAGAGTAGCTCATAAAATAGAAGGCCATGTTCTGATGAAATATTCCTTGTTCACTAAGAGAATACCTGTCCTGGAATTTTACACTTTGGAAAACATTTAAAGGAGAGAACGTGAGGTTTGTCTTATTTTATGAAAGATTCCCATTTCTAACTTATTTAGGATCACCATTTTATTAACTAAATAAACTAAGAAATTAATTTTTAAGGTCAATATTCCTTTAAAAATTAATTCTTTATCAATCACCTACGTAGGAACTTCAATAAATTCAGGGTTTATCAAAGAAAGTTAAACTCAGTATATAAAGAAAATCCAGTAGAAAAACTACAAGGACTCTGACAATGGCTCTATCCTGAAGTGACTGGGTGAAACTAGAGGCTATACAAAAATAGTACTTCACAAAAAGTTAATTCAGAGTCAAACTAAAACATTTTACTGCATGCCATTTTGAAGGTCAAGAACTACTATAACTGTTATCAACCCCTAAGAAGCTAGTATCCTAAATCTAAGGAGAAAGGTTCCCTCCATTAGAGTAAACATCATGTACCCTGAACATTAATAACTAAAATTCAAATTCTATAAAAGTTATACATATATACTGTGGCATTTTAAAATACATTCCCACTTTGTTTAATACACATAATTTCATAATACAACAGAGAAAGATTTGGAAACAAATATACAAAAAAATTACTAAAGTGTTTTCTCTGGATCATGGGAATACTAGAGTTTTAATACTTTTACTGGTTTTGTGTTGCATTTTCTAAAAGATTTATAAAGAATATTTCTTTTATAATTAGAAAAAACTCAATAAATTTTATGTTAGAATACAGACATTTCTATTTCCCTTCTTAAAAGCAACTATTGTCAAATTTTTAGACTTTAAGTCCAGAGCAAGTATATATAAATATATATAATTAGATCCAAAGGGTAGTATTTGCCCAGAGATAAAGCTCAGAAGGCAAGAAAGGATAGGAAAGAAGGATGAATGGAAACTCCATAGGAGTCAGTGGGAAGAGTGCTGCTATATGGTGAGGACTGCAATGAACGCCACAAAACAAAATGCATATGAATTGTTAAATAGAAAACCAATTTGCTCTATAAACTTTCACCCAATCACAATAAAAAGTTTTTTAAAAATAGTTTATATACATGTATGTTGTTGTTGTTATGTCCCATCAAGTCAGACCCAACTCATAGCAACCCCTCCTTGGGTTTCCGAGGCGGTATCACTACAGAAGTAGAGTCCCCAACCTTCCTTCCGAGGAGTGGCTGGGTGGCTGGTGGGTTTGAACCGCCAGCCTTCTGGTTAGCAGTCAAGTGCCTTAGGCACTATGCTACCAGAACTATATATATACACATACATTAAAAAAAAAATATATATATATATACACACACACACATATATACCAACCCCCAAACCCACTGCTGTCAAGTCTATTTCGACCAAACCCACTGCTGTCAAGTCTATTTCGACTCATAGCAACCCCCACTGGGTTTCCAAGGCACTATATCTTTATGGAAGTAGATTGCCCGGTCTTGCTTCCATGGAGCAGCTAGTGGGTTTGAGCCACCAACCTTCTGGTTAGCAGTCAGATGTCTTAGACATTGTGCTACGAAAAATATATAAATAGATATAGATAGATTTAAAACATACTGAAAGCATATACAACTTGCATTTTTTTCATGTAATAAATCTTAGAGACTATTCCATATCAACACACATAGACATACTTCATTCATCTTAATGGTTACACAGCATACTATTGAATATTTTTACACACTATATTTCAGAGTGTATTGATGAACCATTCATAGCAAACCCTCATTGGGTTTCCAAAGCGTTGTCACTATGGAAGTAAATTGCCCAACCTTCCTTCCAAGGAGTGGCTGGTGGATTTGAAACGCAAGCCTTCCCATTAGCAGTCAAATGCCTTAGGCACTACACCACCAGAGCTCCCCATAATGATGAACCATTAGGTTATTTTTATTTTTACAAACAATCGAGTATTAAAATATTTTTAGTATGTCTGAAAAATTAAAGAATATGAAACATCATTAGATGCTGTTGTCAGGTGCCATCAAGTTGCCACTGACTCACAGTGACCCTGTGTGCAACGGAACGAATACTGCCCAGTCCTGAGCCAGCCTCACAATCCTTACTATACCTGAGTCCATCATTGCAGCCACTGTGTCAATCCATCCCCTTGAGGACTTTCCCCTTTCTTGCTGACCCTCCACTTTACCAAGCCTGACATCCTTCTCCAGGGAATGGTTCCTTCTGACAATATGACCAAAGTAGGTGAGACGAAGTCTGGCTCTTCTCACTTCCAAGGAGCATTCCAGCTGTACTTCTTTAGGACAGATTTGTTCATTCTTCTGGCAGTCCGTGGTATTTTCAGTGTTCTTCGCCAACATCACAACTCAAAACCATCAACTCTTCTTCGGTCTTCTGTATTCACTGTCCAGCTTTCACATGCCTATGAGGCATACTTGGGTTAGGCGCACCTTAGTGTTCAGAGACATCTTTGCTCGTCAGCATTTTAAAGAGGTCTTTTGCAGCAGATATGCCCAATTCAATAAATTGTCTGTTTCTTGACAGCTGCTTCCATGGGTGTTGAGTATGGAAGCAAGTAATATGAAATCTTTGACAACTTCAAACTTTTCTCTGTTTATCGTGATGCTGCTTATTGGTCTAGTTGAGAGAATTTTTGTTTTCTTTATGGCGAGGTGTAATTCATACTGCAGTTTGTACTCTTTAATCCTCATTAGTAAGTGCTTCAAGTCATCTTCACTTTCAACAAGTGCTAAAGGGGCAGGGAGGCACTATCTTCTGACTTCCTCTAACTCCACAAGAGGAAAACAGAATCATCATCAGTACCCCAAGGCCTGTTCTTATGAGGCCAGACATGCCACCACCCTCCAGCCCTCTTACCAAACTTAACACCAACCATCCCTCCTGTGGTACCCACCACCTCTCTCCTGGGTTCGGTAATTCACGGTGATGGTCACACAGAACTCACAGATTATGGGGTTTATTAGCTACAATTCAAGTTCAGGAATGTTCTCAGTCTCTCTCAGCCTCCAGCCTCTCTCAGCTGGCAATCAGAGATTCCTGCTCTGCCCTTAGGAGGGCTTATTTTAAGCCTGGCAGAGTGGCAAAACTAACCAATCCCAACATCAGAGTTCTACAGACCTGAGAGAAAGAGAGAGAGCGCATGCACATCCCAGAAGATTACTTCCTGCTGCCCCAGGTGGATGACTTTAACAAGCAGCTACTCAGCTGCTCATGGCAAAGTGGGAGTTACAAAGACTATGGCTAGAAAAGCCATCCCGTGTAATTCAATACACCGCAACAAGCAAGGTTGTGTCATCTGCATATTGCAGGTTGTTAACAAGTCTTCCTCCAATCCTGATGCCACATTCATCTTCATATAGTCCAGCTTCTCATATTATTTGGTCAGCATACAGACTGACTATTGTTGTTGTTAGGTGCCATCGAGTAGTCTCTGACTCATAGCGACCCTATCCACAGCAGAAAGAAACATCACCCGGTCCCACACCAGCTCCATGATCCTTGCTACACTTGAGCCCATTGCCATAGCCACTGTGTCACTCCATCCCGTTGAGAGCCTTCCCCTTTTGTCGTACCTCCACCTTAGGAAGCATGACATCCTTCTCCAGGGAATGGTCCCTTCTGATAACATAACCTAAGTAAGTGAGACGAAGTCTGGCCATTCTTGCCTCCAAGGACCATTCCAGCTGCACCTCCTCCAGACAGACTGAGTATGGTTAAAGGATACAACCCCGACACACCCTTTCAGATTTTAAACTATGCAGTATATACCCTTGTTCTACCCAAATGACAGCCTCCTGGTCTATGTATAGGTTTCTCATTGAGTACAATTAAGTGTTCTGGAATTCCCATTCTTCTCAATGTTATCCATAATTTGTTATGATCCACACAATTGAAAATACAAGAACAGTCAATAAAACATAAGTAAACATCTTTCTGGTATTCTTTGCTTTCAACCAAGATCCATCAGACATCAGCAATGATATCCCTCATTCCACATCCTCTTCTGAATACAGTTTGTAGTTCTGGAAGCTCCCTGTCAATATACTGCTACAACCGTTTTTAAATTATATTCAGCAAGATTTTACTTGAGTGTGATATTAATATTGTTCAATAATTTCCACATTCTGTGGGATGACCTTTCACTGAAATGAGTACAAATATGGATCTTTTCCATTCAGATGGCAAGGTAGCTGTCCTCCAAATTTCTTGGCACAGACGAGTAAGTGCCTCCAGCATGGCATCTGTTTGTTGAAATATCTCAATGGGTATTCTGTCAATTCCTGAAACTGTGTTTTTCGCCAATTTCTTCAGTGCAGCTTCGACTTCTTCCTTCAATACCATTGATTCCTGATCATGTGCCATCCCCTGAAATAGATGAATAGCAAGCAATTCTTTTTGGTATAGTGACTCTGTATTCCTTCCATCTTCTTTTGATGTCTCCTGCATTACTCAGTATTTTGCCCAAAGAATCTTTCAATATTACAACTCAAGACTTGAATTTTTTCTTCAGTTCTTTCAGCTTGAGAAATGCCAAGCCTGTGCTTCCCTTTTGATTTTCTAACTCCAGGTCTTTTCACATTTCATTATAATTGACTTTGTCTTCTAAAGCTGCTCTTTGAAATCTTCTGTTTAGCTCTTTTGTCATTTCTTCCATTTGCTTTAGCTCCTCTCTGTTCAAGCACAAGTGTCAGAGTCTCTTCTAATATACATTTTTGTATTCCAGTAGTATCTCAGCAGTATCTTTCTTTCCTGTCTTTTTAATGACCTTTTGCTTTCTTCATGGATGATGTTCTTATTGTCATCCCAAAATTCCTCTGGTTTTTGGTCACTGATGTTCAATGTGTCAAATCTATTCTTTAGATTGTCTCTAAATTCAGGTGGGATATAATTAAGGTCACATTTTGGCTCTCGTAGACTTGTTTTAGTTTTCTTCAGCTTCAACTTGAACTTGCATATGGACAATTGATGGGGTATTCCGCAGTCTGCTCCTAGCCTTATTTTGGCTGAAATAAGGCTCTCCACTGCCTCTTTGCACAGATGTAGTCAATCTGATTCCTGTGTGTTCCATCTGGTGAGGTCCATGTGTACAGCCTCCATTTATGTTGTTGAAAAAAGGTATTTGCAATGAGTAAGTTGTTGGTCTTGCAAAGTTCTATCATGCAATCTCCAGCATTATTTCTATTACCAAAAGACCATATTTTCCAACTACTGGTGATTCTTCATTTCCAACTTTTGCATTCTGTTGTTGTTGTTGTTATTTGCCTCAATAATCAACACATCTTGATTGCATATTTGGTCAGTTTCAGACTGCAGAAGTTGGTAAAAATCTTCAAATCCCCCATCTTTGGCTTTGGTGGTTGGTGCATAAATTTGAATAACAGTAGTATTAACTGGTCTTCCCTGTAGGTGTATGGATATTATCCTATCACTGACAGCACTGTACTTCAGGACAGATCTTGAAAAATTCTTTGTGATGATGAATGTCATGCCATTCCTCTTCAATTTGTCATTCCCAGCATAGTAGCTCATATGACTGTCTGATCCAAAATGGCCAAAATTGATTCATTTCAACTAATGGCTAGAATATCAATCTTTATGCATTCCATTTCCTTTTTGACAACTTCCAATTTTCTTAGATTCATACTTTGTACATTCCATGTTCTAATTATTAATGGATATTTGCAGCTGTTTCTTCCCATTTTGAGTCGTGCCACATCAGCATATGCAGGTCTTGAAAGCTTTACTCCATCCACATCATTATGGTCGACTCCACTATGATGAGATAGCTCTTCCCCAGCTGTATTTTAAGTGGCTTCCAACTTGAGAGGCTCATCTTCCGGCACTGTATCAGACTATGTTTTAGGGCTATTCATAAAGGTTTCCAGTAGTATCTCAGATAGTATTTCACTGCTGTTCATAAGGTTTCCACTGGCCACTTCTTTGAGAAGTGGATGGCCCCTTCCTTCTTCCAAGTCTGTCTCAGTCTGGAAGCTCCATTGAAACCTGTCCACCATGGGTGACCCTGCTGGTATTTGAAATGCCAGTGGCATAGCCTCCAGCCTCATAGCAATACACAAGCCACCACAGTATGACAAACTGATAGATGATTAGTCAAATTTCTTTTTTATAAGATAAATAGGAAACCAAATTAAAATTACATGAGATACCATTTTTATACCAACAGATTGGGAAAGATGTAAACTGTTTCATAATTCTGTCATGGTGATATACCAAGGAAAAAGTCACTCTTACACAACTGATAGGAATTTAAAAGGATAGAACTCTTTGGAGGACAATTTGCAACACCTATCAAAATTCTCATATTCTAAGAGCCATCAATTCCACTTCTACAAATTTATTCTATAGATACATTCAAATATTAATTAAATGACATAATACAAGGATACTCACTATCCCATATTTCAGCAAAACTCTGAAAACTAACTGTCCATCAATAGGAAAATGATTGAATAAACAGAATATGAATATGCCTGCATATGCAACACTTAACTCTGGATGTATACTCAAGAATTAACAATGGGTGGCTCTACGGAGGAGAACTGAGTATATAGGTTACAGAACACTAAAACCTACCTTTCAGTATACATTTTTGTACCCTTTGAATTCTGGATTATGTGCATGAATTGCCAAAGTTTTTTTAAATGAAATTTATGTTTAAGATTATGTACTATATGACTCATCTTTACAAAATAGATATATATACAGAATAATCTTACAGTATAAAATAAACTTGAAAATAAGTCTACTACATTAGACGTTTGCTGCCATTAGCATTTTTATAAATCATAGTAATAATTCTTACCTAAATAATTGTTGAAAGTTTGGTTTAATAAAGTTTGCTTCAATATTTTGTCTTATGCATATTATGTGGGTTATTCCATGTTTCTGTAGTACAGGTAGCTATAAAAAAAAAGAAAAAGGAAAAAAGAGGGGGACAGGTGAGAGAAATAGTGCTAATAGAAAAAATTATCATCTTACTATAACACAGTTGTTTGAAAATAAATACACAGACCCAACAGTAGAAATAAATCACACTGTACTCATTTCAGCAGCCCATATGCTAAAATTGGAACAATACAGAGATTACCATGGCCCCTGCACAGGGATGACACACAAATTTGGGAAGCATTCCATATTTTTCTGTTTATTGTTGAGATTGTAATCAGTGCCATGGAACAAAATGTGTATGAACCATTCAGAGTCAAATGAATCCCCTTTGCACATCTACAGCCAAACCACAATAAAATTTAATGAAAGAAATAATAATTACTTTAGAAATAATGAGTCTAAAGTATGGAGAAGTAAATTTAATTTCATAATAATGTATCTCAAGTGATCAGCAAGATACTTTTCTATGATTCAAGATTAATACACTACATGTCCTCAAAAGGTTAAAAGGGACACTTTACATCTAGATGTAAACTTTTATAGCTTTTTATAGCTAGATAGAACCTTAAACACAATTTATTTGGGAAGTAGTACTACATAGTAGTTAAAAGCATGAGTTTTAGAGTCATGTAAGCCCAAGGTTTAAATTCCACCTCTGCTAATGACTTGAGTTCTTTGGCTCAGTTTCCTTGTATGAAAATGGTCAAAGCATTATCTACACACTGAATGGGTGTGTGAATTATATGATATAGGTGTTTTAGCACAGTGTTTGGCATACTGCAAGTGTTTAGTAAATGGTACTTATATACATACACTGTACCCTTTATTCTTTAGAGGAGACTATTAAGACATTGTTGTTGTTGTTATGTGCCTTCGAGTCGGCCCCGACTCATAGCGACCCTCCTTGGGTTTCCGAGGCAGTATCACTACAGAAGTAGATTGTCCAACCTTCCTTCCGAGGAGCGGCTGGTGGGTTTGAACCGCCAGCCTTCTGGTTAGCAGTCAAGTACCTTAGGCACTATGCTACCAGAGCTCCTATTAAGACATAGAATACTTAAATTATTAAATAGTTCAACATCACTGACCTAATTAATAGAGTCCCAGGGCTCAAAACTCTAAACTACTCTATACCCTTCTAGTACACTTTTCTAGTACAATTAATTTACATAATTAATTTACATAACCAGACTCTAATCATTCACTGCTTTAAAATTCTCTTAAAGTAAAAAGTCACCTCCAATGATACCACACTCTATAGTGCTTTTCATTGCCTTTATATGTAAAGCAATTTAACAATTCTAGAAATTACCAAATAATGCTTTTATTTGCAAGTGATTATAGGCTTCAGTGAGTTTCATTTTATTTTACTGGCTAAATTCCATGAAAGCAAGGATTCTTTCTGTTTGTTTGTTTACTGGCTCCTATTAACTATGTATACCAGTGTCTGACACACAGTAGGTACTCAATAATTACTTATTCAATAATGAATAAAAATTCATGCTGGAATGAAGAATCAGAATTAACAACTTTGTATTTTCTATGATACTTTCAGTTTATGATCCTATATACTTAATTCCCACTTTATGCATTAAATAGTCCAGAACAGTAGTACTAAAATTCACAAGAGAGGTTAAAAAATAATTTTATAAATTTCAAGTTTTAAATATTAATTTTTATAGTAAATTTTCCTATGTCTGCTATAGAGTAGAGTTCATTGTTTTTGTATTTTCTTAGTATATTATGAATTAGAGGAAGGGAAGTAATAACTGAAGCTAGAATTAATCATTACCCAATATCTCATTTATGTCACACTGCCAAAATGAATTCAACATTTTGACATTTACTTTATTAATGTGAGAAACTAAAAGAGACACATAATTATGGATAAAAGGCACATCAGACTATTATTAAATAAAAAAACAAATCTTCTCAAAATAGAACCCTATGTAATAGTGAACACATTATTTTGTATTTTTCAGTGGATTTTCAATTACACAAAATTATGACTATGTACACTCAAAAGGGAAAGTTTGCGAAAATAGTTTGAGTTGCAAAGAGCCTAAATTTGTCCCTTTTATTAAAACCATATTTGAATGTAATAAAAAATAGGCTTAAGTAAATTACTCTTTGAAAAGGAGTTAACTTCCTAAGGTTTATTTTTCCCCTTTATTATTTTTGACAAAGGAAATATTTTAGATAACGGTATGAAAAGAAATAAGGGCTGTACTGTGGTTACTAAGGTTAGGAGACATGAAATTTTGCCACAGCAGAAACAAGCCCTTTTCCTCAGTCTAATAAAGTGATGGTAAAATTGAGAGAGAAGAGATTGTGAGTAGATAGACCTGTAAACAAATACTTACAGGTATATTTATAAAGTATAGAGGGAATACAAAAAAATCTCAAAAACACATTGAAGGCCAGTACTTTGTGAATACTACATAATTAGGAAATAACTTTTGTTTTTATTTGCCATTTACAAAGTATGTCACAGTTAAATCTATAGTTGGTTACCTGTCTACTAATACCCTAATACATTAAAAAAAAAAAAAAAATGCCATCAAGTTGATCTGGCTCATAGCAACCCTATGACAGAGTAGAACTGCCTCATAAGGTTTCTAAAGTTTTTTTCAGAAACAGATTGCCAACTGCCCCATTAGTCTTTAATAGAGCAGCTGGTGGGTTCAAACTACCCACCTTTTGGTTAGCAGCAAAGCACTTAACCACTGTGTGACAAGGCTCCTTCCCTAATACTTTATTACCAATAACAAACCATTAAAATATTATTTATTATGCCTCAAAAGTCACAAATTTTCAATTTCAAAAGGAATGATTGTAAATAGCAAAGAGATGGAAACAACCCAAGTGCCCATCAGCAGAAGATGTATAACCAAACTATGGTATGTACATACACACAATGGAATACTACACAATACTAAAAAATAATGTATAATCTGCAAAACACCACATAAAGTGGATGAACTTGAAGGACATTATGCTGAATGAAATAAGTCAATCACAGAAGAACAAGTATCATATTAGTCTACTACTGTAAAAAGTCAAGAAAAGGTTTATATATGGAAGGAAAATTTTTTGTTGGTTACCGGGATGGGAGGGGAGGGGAGGGAAAATTGCTAGATAGGTAGGAGACAACTATTAATCTGGGTGAAGGGAAAGGCAATATACCAAACTGAATGACTAAGAGTAACACTAAGAAAAAGGAAGACACAGAAAGGTGCATAAGAGGTACAGACAACAAAGAGAAACACTTTTACATATATACAATACGGTGTTATCAATAATAACAAACACTAGTCTATGGGTGGATACACAGGTAGACAGGCTGAATGATCAGCTATGTCAAGGCAAAAGGGAACATACCCATGATCCTATATAAGGATAGCAGACAGTATTTCTATATATGTATTTGTATGTGCTTGAAGAATGTCCATATAAATAGAACTAACAGGGGTCAGAGTTATGTTAACTTCTTAGGCACAGTCAACCACCTTGACAGAGAGAGTTGTTGGACCAGTGAGCTCAGGGTCACAAGGGACATCAAGCTCAACTGGCATAATGTATTACACATAAACACTGTTCTACATCCTACTTTGGTGAGTAGCAACTGGGGTCTTAAAAGCTTGCAAGCAGTCATCTAGATGCAACAATTGGTCTCTCCTCATCGGGAGCAAAGAAGAACAAAGAAAGCCAAAGATGCATGGAAACAATTAGTTCAAGAACTAGCAGACCATGCGAACCTCAGTCCATATGACCATGAGACAAGAACTAGATGGTGCCTGGCTACTGCTTCCAACCACTCAGAAAGGGATCAGCACAGGAGATCCTGGTTAGAGTAGAAGAATAATGTGCAGCAAATTCAACATCATAAAAAAAAAGACCAGGTTTACTGGTCTGATACTCTGGTGAAATCCGCAAGACTACAGCCCCTAGTTAGTTACCCTTCAGGTCTGGAACTGAACTCACTCCCATGGGTTCCAGCCAAAAAACAGACAGGCATATAGGGTGAACATTTACACCAAGTAGATACACTCCTTAGAATGATCAATCATAGGAAAACAGAAGGGCATTATTTGCACAGAAAACAGGTCAAGGGGTAGGAATGCATAGGAAATAAGTACACAGGGAAGAGGGAACTACAGTGAGTAAGTGGGAAGAGCTGTTACATTGTGGGGATTGCAGTCAATGTCATGAACAAAATGAATATGGACTGCTATATGGAAAATGAATTTGCTCTGTAAACTTTTACCCAAATTACAGTAAAAATTAAAAAAAAAAAAAAGGGAATGACTAACTTTTAAAAACTCCTAATCATCTAAAATTCATGAACACATCAAATTATAAAGTGAACATTTAACACTCTACAGCTATTACAAAACCAATGGTGGGTATATACCATATCATAAGAAGAAAACTTAAACCAAACTCATTGCCACAAAGTCAATTTGCAACTCAAAGCAATGCAGTAAGATAGAGTAGAACTGCCCCACAGAGTTTTCAAGGCTGTAAATCTTTATGGAAGAAGACTGCCACATATTTCTCACATCGAACAGCTGGTGGGTTCAAACCACTGATCTTTCAGTTGGCAGCCAAGCACTTAAACCGTGTGACCAGGGCTCCTAACTTTATACTGATTTCTAAATACCCAAAGTTTGGGGAAAACATCTCAGAGACAGGATTTCTAATTAAAAGAGAATTAGTAGTATTGTCATAAGAAGCATCAGAATGGGTTAAATCCTCTAGGAAGTAGCAACAACATTGGTACACATATTAAAATGAGATTCTATCATTTTAACCGTGTTACTGACCAAACCAAAACCAAACCCACAGCCAGAGTCAATTCTGACTCAAAGGGCCTTACAGGACAGAGTAGAATTGCTGCATAGGGTGTCCAAGACTGTAAATCTTTATGAAAGCAGACTGCCTCATCTTTTTCCCATGGAGCAGCTAGTAGGTTTGAACTGCCAACCTTCTGGTTAGCAGCCCAATGCTTTAACTACCATGCCACCAGAGCTGAAGCAGTCCATTAATTCAGTTAACTTAAAGAACATCTATATAGTACAATGCTTTCTAACTGGGAGCTGCAGACCTCTAAAATCTGCAAAGCATAATTTGAGTTACTTTCAATTAAAACACACATACATATATGCACTTAACCTTACTAAGTGTGGTGGTTATGTTTGTGTGTCAACTTGGCTAGGCCTGGTTGAGTGGCTGGGCAGCTGGTGGTAGTTATTCCCCATGATGAGACTGGCAATCAACTTCATGGTGGTTTCTACCACATGCAGCTGAGTAGCTGCCTCTGGGATGTGGTCTGCCTCCTGTATAAAAGGAGAAGGCTTGGGAATGGTTTCTAGTTTA